AGTCAGTGCAATAAGTCAAGTGCCTGCACTGCTGTCCTGGGTGGAAAGAGCCAAGCTTCCTTCCCCACCGCTCTCTTGCTTTTGGACAGCTCTGACTAATACAGGGCTTTCCTTCTGCAGAGCCACGAGGGCTCCTCAGGCCCCAGACTGTGTACTGTTCTGTCCCCAGGGTGTTTGCAGCCCTTCTACAGGCCACATGGCAGCCACCTCTGCTCCTCCTCGCAGATCTGCCTTCCAGTGTGTGTCAGGGTCAGCAGGGCTGGGGATGCCACCTGCTCCCCTTCCCTGGGCACCTGATCATGTTGTGGATTGCAGTTTCTCACCTGGTTTACCAGCAGCCAGAGCACCTGTCATATCTGGCCCCAGGACCAGCCTCACACTTCTGTGCTGCTGGAGGGTGGCCCAGAGCAGCAGGCCCTTGCCCAGAATGGCACAGGTACCATCCCAAGCCACCAGATGCCTCTAGTGCAGAGACCAGGACACTGTACTGAATCCATCCTAGCCCTGTAGCTAAGTGCTCAGGGGACCTTAGTCTCAGTTTGGTGGCTGGTGAATTGGGAGAGACAGACCACGTGGCACATGGCCTACCATCACAGCAGCCAGCCCACTGGAACTGTCTGCTTGTGGATCTGTCCCTCACCAGAGGAGGGTCCGTCCCTGAGGCTGGGATCCTTCTCATTCCTCCCCAGGTTCCCAGCTCTGCACCCCAGCCCCACCTAGCAACAACAAGGGCCCACTGCTGCTTCCTAAACCAGTGGATAAGAAGCTACGTTCCCTCTAGGCCCTGCCTTGTGCTGTGTGTGCAAGGTTGTGTGTTTATCAGCTAACGCCATCCTCACAACAGCTCTGCTCTAAGGTGAGAAGACTGAGGCACCAAAATAAAACCTGGTCCAAGCTCCCACAATTAGCAAGTGAGAGGGCCAGGCATTGAACTCTGAGAGTCCACTGTTTTTCAACTTCCAGCTCCTAAGGCAAGGGTAGCCCGAGATTGCTCATACCAAAGATGAGAGAGGGGCCGTGGAGATGGCTCAGTGGAATAAGCCCTTCCCTGGCAAGCGCAAGGGCCTGAGTTCAATTCCCGGTTCCACCAAAAAAAAAAAAAAAAAAAAAGATGAGAGAATGCCAGGGCTCACTGGGGCTTGAGAGGGAACTTGTGTGCCATTTGCATGTAGCTGTAAGAGTTCTAGGGGAGAATAAATGCTTTTCAACAATGAAATCCATGAGGAAATGGTGGTAGGGGAAGGGAGGAGTGGAGTGCCATGAGACAAGATTGAGTACCTGTTGACAGTCGTTGGAGCTAGGTATGTGACTCTCTTCCTTTGTATGAATTTTCTGTAATGAAAATTTTAGTTTTCTAAATAAAATAAAATGAAGCCTAGATAGGCCACAGCCTTCTCAGCCATCTTCTCTGTTCTCTTTTCAGCTCCCTGTTTCCTCGTTAGGTTCACCTCAGTCTCCCTGACAGTTTTATGTATTTATTTTACTTTATTTTTATTTTTTATTTTTTGGCAGAACCAGGGATTGAACTCAGGCCCTTGTGTTCCCCAGGCAAACATTTATTCTACTGAGCTATCTCTCCGGCCCCTTCCTGACACTTTTATGTGACTTTCTCTTCTTGCCTTTCTCTTTGTCTCTGTGTCTGTCATTTCTCTACCTCTGAGGAGCAGGGCAAAGAATATAGCAACAGGCAAGCATACACATCCTGTGCTTGTTCCCCTTTGCGTCATTTCCTCCCCAGGCCTCTCTCTCTGTTCTTTTCTCCTAGCTTCTCCTAGCCTTTTCTCCTAGCCTTCACTCCATCCATCCTGAGCTCATGTACGGCTGGGCGTGGCCAGCTCCTGGCTGGCGCCCTGCATCAAAGATGTGCGTGGGGTGTTTCCATGCAAGTCTGAGAAACTCAGAGAATAAGAACATTTGAAAAGTTGGTGCTAGAAGAAGACGAAAGTACGTTCTTTTCCTCCCCACCTGTTGTAATTTGAATCTTAAATGTCCCCCAAAGGCCGGTGAGAGAGCTCAGCAGCTAAGTGCCTGCGTGTAAGAGCTGCATAGTGAGACCGGCGTATCAAGTACATTAACAAAAAATTCCCCTAAAAGCTCACACGCTGAGGCTCGGTCTCCACCTCGTGGCACTATTGGGAGTTGGAGCCTAACTGAAGGAAGTAGGTCCCTGGAAAAGGCCCTGGAAGAGAACAGCAGTGCTCTGACTGCTCTGTTTCTTGGCCGCTGCGCGGTGAGCTGCCCTCCTCCCCCAGGACTTTGGCCGTGAGGCTCTACCTTGCTTGCCACCGGCTCAGAGGCAGCGGAGCCAAGTAACCCTGGGGCACAGTAAATTTTCCCTTCTTTGGGCTAATTTCCTCGGCTGGTTCAGCACACTAGCACTCTGAACTGTCCAATAAAGCAACTCTCTGTCACTTCTTCGCGCTGAATGCCTTGGGTCACGGGGTCATTATCTCACCTAACCCTTTGACAACCTATGCAGCACGTATTCCTTCACAGAAAACAAAACTGAGGTTTTAAAGAGATTAGATAAGAACTCAGTGTCACTCAGGTACCAGTGGCAAGGCTGGAATTTAAATGCCTCTTATACTTTCTAAACTGGAAAGATTCAGGCACTCTAAGCACCTTGGAAATTATTGAGGTTTCCCATCTGGGGTCGCAGCAGGGCCAGTGACCCTGTACTCTTAGCTAATAGACAGATCTGAGCACACGCTCAGGCCTGTGTCTGTCTTGTGAAAAGGGCTCCAAACAGCTGGCGCATATCCAGTGAGACAACCATGGAGGGGAGGAGTCCTGAGGGACAGATGGAGGCTGCCTGCAGGAATGCCAGGTGCCCAGAGGGCACAGCTGGCACACAGGTGGGCCCAGTTCTCTAGGGCCAGACCCAATGCCTACTGCCTGTTTCTAGGTAACTACTGTTGGGTATCTCATAAGCTCCCTGGTCCCACTGTGCCTACTGCACACCCCCACCACCTGGTCCTCCTCTGGAGACCTCATCCCAGGAAGGGTTGCACCATATGCCTACCTGTCCACACCAGACTCCTAGAACTTGCCTCCTCTCCTTTCTTTCCAATCCCTGCTATCCAGTCATGTCTGCCCACAGCCACACCTTAGTCTCAGCCACTACGCTCTTCCTTTGGACTGTCACAGTAGCGTCCTGTCCCTTCTCCAACCTCCATCCCATTTTCTATCCAGCAATCCAAAGGGATCTTCTGGGAACTCCACAATGACTGCATCAGTCCCCTCTTGCCTCAGCCTGTCCTCTTCTATCCCAGTCATGGAATTCACTGGAGAGAAAGCAACTGGGTCTCTCAGGTTCTCCAGTCCATTTTCCCACCCCCTCTGGCTGATGCTCAGTGCTCTCTGTCCATCTGTCTTCAAGGCCCTCTCCAGTGTGGTCTTTCCCCTCTGCTTCCTTCTTTCCTGTGCTTGGGTCTTTACATATCTTTTCTAAATGATACTTAGCATGCCTGGCTATGTTTTTATGGCCACCTCTCTATGTTTTAGCTCCATTGTGTCCCTCAATTTTTAAACAGAAACTAAGACAGCAGGAGGAAGTGATCCTACTGTATTTTTCTAAAAATAGCACCTAACCAGAAATAAAAAATGCCAGCCCCAAACTATCCTTGCCTTCCTTACCATTACGGAATAGCCAATGACCAACAGAATAGTGGCTCTTCTGCATCACACTGGCCATCACCATGGTAACCATCATCTATTAATTACAGCTAGGTCTCCTTATCAAGGAAACACAATGTTTCTTGTTATATCTTGAAGTCACTTTTTTTGAGTTCTTGGGCCATAAGCATTTACAGGTTAGAGTAAGAATTCTTAATCACTGTCATCTGGGCAGGCTTTACAGATCTGTAGTCGGTTCCCACTTCTGTTCTCATGTGGCCTTCACAAGGCTGGGTTAGCTACATTTCTGTTAGAGTGGTTATTATCAGCAAGAGAGCATGAAGCAGGTGTTAGTGAGGATGTGGAGAAAGGGGAACTCTTGCATGCTGTTGGTAAGAACGTAAATTAGCCCAATCATTTTGGAAAACAGTAAGACGGTTCCTCAAAAATTGAAAATAGCACCACCATAAGAACCAGCAGTCTCACTGCTGGACACATAACCAAAATAGATGAAATTGTTATGTCAAAAAGATCCTATATTTATTTCAATGTTATTTATAGTAGCAAAGAGATGGAATCAACCTAAAAGCCCACACAGTGGATGAATGGATAAAGAATGGAACGTTAATCAGCATTAGGAAAGGAAATCCTGTCACTTGAAAAATGTGTGTAACCTGAAGGACATCATGTCTGAGTGAAATTAGCCAAACACAGAAAGACAAATACTGTACTGTGTGAACTCACTCATATTTGGAATCTAAAAGGGGCTGACCTCAGAGAAGTACAGGACAGAACAATATGTGCCTGAAAGGAAGGGAGGAGATAGAGATGGGTGACCGGTGGGTATGAAGTTATAATTAGTTAGGAAGACTAATTTCCATGTTCCCCACAGAAGGGTGACTATAGCTAACAATGAGGTATTACATACTTCAAAATCAGAGAGGGACTTTTATGGTTCTCATCATGAAGAAATGATAAAAGCAGGAAGTGATGGATATGTTGACTCTCCTGATTTGATCAATGACAATTATACATATATCAAAACATCAGGTTGTATAAAATAAAATATGTACAATTAGGAACTATAGGCAACAATAAAACTGTGGATCAGGTAAAAAAGAGGTTATTGCACCCAATTAATAAACGAAGAAACAGAGGCCAGAAATGGCACAGCCAGGATTCAAATCCAGAATCTTCCAGCTGTAGTCTGCTGACTGACCCAAGGAGCCTCCCACGATTCTTCCCTCCATGCCAGCTGGCCTGTGAATGATTCATATCATACCCTTCTCCCAGTTGCATTAGTCACCAGTGTCAAAGACCGTTGCCTGGAGTAGAGCACACACAGTCTAGCATGCCCCGTCCCAGCCCAACCCTCAAACACGCACCTTGCATTTTTGGTAATCATCTTGCTGAGGAGCGTGGCCCACAGCCTGCTGGGCACAGACTTGGGAGATGAAGCTCCCTGGGTCTGTCTTTACGTCCTGAGGCTCTTGGTCACAGTGGCTTCTGTTGAGCTGGCCTTCTCTTCTGTTCTCTCTGTGGTGCCTAAAAACCGAGAGAACAGGCAAACATCCAGTCAAATATTTACCTGAGAAATGAAAGCAAGCAGATAGCCCTCTTCCTTGTTTCACAACTTGGCTGGTTCTTCTGCTCTTTCCCCTCTGCTCAGGCTCCAAAAGCTCAAATTCTCTCCATATTGTGTCTCCCCTGACCCTTGCTGCAGTCTTTGAGCCCCTGCTATAGGCACTGGCTCCTGAGCTCCCAGAGCTCTGCCCAGCAGCTGGGCCCCTTTGACTAGCTGTAAAAATTATGACAGGCAATAAACTAGGATTCTGCCTCAAGCATTAAACCAGGGCCACTGGCTTATGGTCTCCTTAGATATTAGGTAGCCCATGGCTGGGGGAAGGGGTTGGAGACAGGGTCAAAAACAAACCCATCCTCATGGCAGAGTGGGCCAGGTATTCATCTCCCCACATGGAAAGCAAGGCTGCTACTGGGTAGGGCCTTTCTAGTGAGGGCCATTCTCTGGTCACCCTGGCATCAAGGAGCCAATGCAAGACCAGGTTTCACTGGGGAACATCGTGAAAGCCACGGGCCAACATGGCTAAGAAGCAAAGAATCTTTACCACTTTCTTCTCTATCTGCTGGTTGGACTCCGAGTCTCTATAGGAGGTGGCTTAAAGGAGTTATGGAGCCTGAGTCCTTGAAATACCATGCCAGGAAAACTGTCCCCCACCAGCTGTCCTTTCACAGATAAGTCCAGGAGCAATAAATGAAGCCAATAGCATGCAGTCTCATTTTTTATAGCAGCTCATGTCACCCTATCTAATGCAGCACAGAATGGGCAGGGCTTTCTTTATATTCCAAGTCTGTGAGCCCTTTACCACTACCTGGAACACCTGCTCAGCAGCACTGCATTTGTGCATGAAGTCCTACCCCAAGCACTATGTCTGCCCCTACCTCTGCTGGTTGCCATGATTAGATCTTCTTAGCTTGGTTCAGATCCCTCTTGGGTGCTGTGTTCATCATCTAACACACATTCATAAAGCTCCATGGGGTGCTGTGGTTCAGGGTGTACGCTGGGGGAGCTGAATTCACCATCAAATAGTTGTGTGACCATGGGCAAGCTACACTGTCAGCCTCTCTTGAGCTGTGTTTTGACTAAGTTACACCCTTTTATGGAAATGTGAAGCTGAAGGGAGCTAGCACATATCAAATGCTTGGGAAGATCCTCTCCACATGATAGGCACGCCAAGCACATCAGCTACACTTGGACACCTGCTATGTGCAGGTACAGGCTGAGATGCTGAGGACAGAGTCACTCACAGTGAGTTGTGCCCAAGTCCCAGCACTCCTGTTGGAGCATAGGGACTGTCGATTCCAGGGCCAGTCTGAGTCAGGACAGTGTCTAGAATACAGAGAAGATCCCTTAAATATTTGTTCTCAAAATGGAAAAGATGAAAGAAAGGTTATAAATTTCAAAGATCAAATGCAGTAGAGCTCTCTTCCTAGATATCTACCAGCAAGAAGTCTTATGAAGGCCCTTGGTCCAGACTTGGCCTCTGTCACTAGAAAGGACATTTCTTCTTCATGCATCTTGGCCGGTTCAGAGGGGTAGAGCCGCAGAGTTTGTTCCTTCCAGGCAGGCAGAGACGCTGTCTCTTCTAGAGGCACCTGTCTGCTGTGTGCTTCCTGCTTTGCAGCCCAGCCTTCATATGGATATTTCCAGTTCTTGGGTGATTGGGACAGTTTTTTCTCAAAGTTTTGCAATTATTCTCTTCATACTATCAAGAATGAGTCATTATTGAGTTGTCCCTGGCTTCCCAGAGAGACTGGGAAGGCAGCCAAGTATTCAAAAACAGAAAAGGGATGATATCTGTTCATCAACAGCTGCTTATGTTCAGGGGAATTTTATCCATTGTAATAAGGGCTCATTTTGGAGGGGCTGCCCTGCCCCACATATGGACCACTCTGTGTGACGGATTACTTTTTCTTCTTTTTTGTACTGGGAATCAAACTCAGGACCTTGTGTTTGCTGGGTAGTTGCTTCACCCCCGAGCCATATCCCTGGTCCTATATGGTAGATCTCTTCTTCCTCTCTCAACCTTTCTTATTTTAGTGTTGAATCCAAGCAGAACTTGACATGCAACCTCGGCAACATTTCAACACTTTATTTCTCTCCATAATGCCAATCCCCACATGCCTCTATGAATATTATTTCTTTTATCCAATGTATATTATTTCCTTTTTCTGGTTTTGGAGAATTTGAAGACTGTCTCTTTGTTCATTCAGCTTACTGTTAAAAGCATTCACTAGAATAGAGTCCTCCAGCCCTCCATAAAGGCCTCTTTCCAGGCGCTGTGGAAGAGTGCGGTGGGTTGGCAGAAGGCAAGAAGGGAAGATGAATACTCTAGAACCCAGTGTAGAGAGTTAGCATATATTTTTATATACACAACTTTTATTATTTACATTTGTATTTTTATGAAAAATGAAGCGAAATTTCATAAAAATAATAATTTTGAACACAGTGTATCATTATCTACAGAGTGAGTTACTGTCTTTGACCCCCACACTTAATGGTAGAAATGGAAAAGCATGTCACACTCACAGGAGGAAATGGAAAAGCATGTCACAATGGTTGTTCTTGTCTCCTGGGTGTTAGGGCCTTATCACATGGCAGCCTGTTCTATAGAGATATGGTTTAATCATTAAATTTGGAAATAAAAGCATTCAGATGTCTGGAATACCTGGTACAACTTATTTCTTAAGTAATACTAATAGCTTTTGGGAGTGGGAAAGATCTGTGACTAGGGACTATTTTACTTTCTTTGAAAGGAATGAAGCCAATTTCCACTCTGATCCCCTTCTTTGTCTGCTTATGAGTAGGCCTGCTTCCCCATGCTAGGACAATGACGCAAGTTCTTCTAGTGGGCACTCAGTGACCTTTGTGATCAGGCCCCAAGCTACCTTTGCAGTCCATTTGAGATAAGACTGACTCACCACGGGATAAATCCCAGGGGTGTGGTGGGACTAGACTCTCAGGCCCCACCATGTCTCCTCTCCTCACCTTACTCATTTCTTATATCCCAAATATTTATGGGGGACCTGTGTATCATGCACTATGCTAATCCCTGAGGACAGGTGCTCTTGGGACTCACATACCTTGTCCTCTTTTCTCAAGCTAGGGCAAGAGCTTGGAGTCAGTGCAGTGTCCTCCCTGGAAAGAGCGTGTTTTGCAATTTCTGCCTCCTGGAATGTGAAAAATGAGGAGAGATGACTGTACCAGAGAGCAGGCTGGGACAAACTGCTGTGATGGGGCCACACAGGGGAAAGGCAAGAGCAGAAGCTCAGGCTTCACAGGGGTCACTTCTAGAGGCCAGGAGTGGAATCCACTTACACTGAAGGCCAGCCATATGGGGACAGAACCCTAGGCTTGGATACCTGGAAATCTGGGCCTCAGCTGTGTGACTGCTATGGTTTGAATCTGGCTTGTTCCCTCCAAAACTCATGTTGAGTTTTGCCTGTGTGGTCATGTTCAAGGATCTTCGAGTAGCAATTAGGCCATTAAGTGGGGTTAGTGAGTTTCTATCATGAGTGCTCACTCTCATGGGACTGGGTTAGCTAGTGACAGAACTGGTCACCAAAAAAGCAAGTCCCCTTCATGTTTTGCCTCATGTGCACACACCTGCTTACCCTTTTGCTTTCTTCCATGAGTCTAAGCAGCACAAGGCCATCTCAAAGCTAAGAAGATGCCAGCACCACGATCTTGGACATCCTGGCCTCTAGAACTGGAGACTCAAATTAACATTTTAATTTTATAAATAGGTAGAAGAAAAGCGAGAGGGTGACGAATGTTGAAAGAACGAGGAGGAAGGAGAGAAAATGGCATCCACGGATTATAGTACCTCCAGCCAAGCTGCAGCCCAGGAGGGCTACAATGCTTACACAGCCCAGCCAACTCAAGGATATGCACTGACCACCCAGCAGGCATCTGGGCAACAAAGCTATGGAACCTATGGACAGCCTACTGATGTCAGCTATACCCAAG